GCTTGGAGCAGGAGAAAGGTCATCCAGGACTGAATTTACCGTACCACTGACATGGTTCTGCCTCAGGAAATCCCTCATAAACCAGATTAGAATCACATCCTTTTGTTCTTGGGGTGGACAGCACAGGTAGTACAAACCAACTCTGGCAAGTGACGTAAAAGCTTTTAAATATGATGTATGTAAAGTGCTAAAAAAACAGTGTCTTTTCCTGCAGAAAAAGGACAAAAATCTGTACTAAGTATAGCAGTGCTGAGAAATTTGTGCTGGTGTAGAATATGTCTGTGGATTCCTTGATGTCACACAGTAATTACTTCATTCCCAGCACTGAGATCCTGAAAAGCATTAGGAGGCTGAACAGGAGGGTGAGGGAGACAGTGGGAAGAGAAAAAAGGAGGCTCAGGGGGGACTTTCTGGCTCTGCAAGTCCCTGCCAGGAGGGGGGAGCCGGGGGGGGTCGGGCTCTGCTCCCAGGGAACAGGGACAGGAGGAGAGGGAACGGCCTCCAGCTGTGCCAGGGGAGGCTCAGGTTGGCCATGAGGAGGAATTTGTTGCTGGCAAGGGTGGTCAGGCCTTGGCAGGGGCTGCCCAGGGAGGTTTGGAGTGCCCAGCCCTGGAGGTGTCCAAGGCAGGCCTGGCCGTGGCACTCAGTGCTCTGGGCTGGGGGACAAGGTGGGGATGGGGCACGGAGTGGACTCGATGACCTTGGAGCTCTTTTCCAACCTAAACAATTCTGGTACTCTGAGAAATCAAGCTGCCAAAATTATCAAGTAAACACTTTAAATTAGGAGGACAAAGCAGTTTTTTTTGTTCCCACGTTCAGTGGAGGCAAAGTTACCCACGAGGACGAGGAACTTCACCCGCCCTGCTAAGTCAGTCCCTGCAGCCCCTGAGATCGCAGGCGAAGGAGGCCCAGCCCTGGCTGCCTTTACGGCACATTCTACAGTTCCATATAAAAGTTACTCATTTAACTCTCTTCCTCCCCCTTCCCCCCCTTTTTTTTTCCTTTTTTTTTTTTTTTTTTTTTTCCCTCTTTCCCCCAGCAATACAGCTCATTCCAAACAGACAAACTGGAATGCAGCCAGGTGGGAAACTGGCGATCCAGCCCCGCCGTGAACGCCGCCGCCATTCAGGAACAAAACTTCCATTCAGAAAACAGTGAACTTTTATACGCCCCACCGTACAGCCTGCCTTTCTCCTACCATTATGGACACTTCCCCGTGGATTCCCACGTCTTCAGTGGCAAAAAGCAAATGCTGCCTGCCAAGTTCGGGCAGGCTCCGGGAGCACCCTGCGAAGTGGCGCGGTTCTTCCTGGGCACGCTGCAGGCGAACGGAGAGTGCCAGTGGCACTACACCAACCCCCTGGTACCCAGCAGCCAGTCACCCTCCAAAAACCTTCCTGAGCAGCCAGTGAACATCATCAGGCACAACCTTGCACAGAGTTACGAAGGTGGGTGTCGCTTCGAGGAAAGAGAGAGGGCTGGGGGGGTGTCTGGGGGAACGACTTGTGTTATGAAAGCAGGGGTTGCGAGGTGTTTGGGGAACACAGAAAATCAGAGACAGTGAAAGGTGACAAGCACTGTGTTTACGGTGTTCACACGTTGATCCTTCTTCCCATTACCGTCAGCACTTGCTTGGGAATATTCTCAACACTCACCTGGTGAGATGGATTCACCAGGATCACTTTTAGAACAGCACAGAGATGCCACCTCCTTCAGCACTGGCACGGTTCACCCTCAGGCTTTGCACTCCCAGAGTTATTTAGGGGAATTGCTCAGGTAAGTCGCTGCTGAGGTCAGATTGAACCAAAATGTACTTCAGCTCCCACACAGGAATTCAAATAAACGCGATCTATTTCCATAAAAATTGAAGGTTGTCCTTTCTGAGCACGAAGCCCTTCGGAATGTTTTCACCTTACAGTTACCATAGGGCAATAATTCTGCTTTATTTAATAATAATTAAATAGCAGTTCTGAATTTGAAAATGTCTTCGGTGCTCTCCCTGCACAGATGGTCAGCTCAAATGCTCTGGAGGAAGCACCGAAGACGTTTTCTCTGAGGTGGCAACCTGCAAAAATAACCTTGAAAAGTTATGAAGTAACAAAATGCAAAGCAGCTCAAAACACTCTAATCACAGAATCACAGAAGGGACCTCTGGAGATCCTCGAGTCCAACCCATTAATTTTTTTCCCTGTATTCAACAATAATAGGGTTTATTGCAGTGGTTTTGGCAGAGCTTGATCTCTCATTATAAACGCTCCTGGGCTCACAGCTGGGCCAACTGGAGAATGAGAGCTGAGTCAAGCTGTGATGTTTTCTCCTCCAACATAAGCAAGGAACAATGTTAATCATCTAAAGAAACAAAAATAGTAGGACAAACCAGACTCTGACAATTTGGACCGTTTCAGGATGGTGTCAAAGCCTATCTTTAACTCAAGTCACAGCATCCGATACTCCCCTCACACAACTCTGAACATAATTGCTGTCATGAAATAGTTGTTGTCATGAGTGAGCCTCAAAACCAAGTCCTGCTGAGATTTCAGGTTGCTGCCTATTTTAGCAAAAATAGCCTTATTTGGCCTGTGCTTTACTTTCAGTAACTGTGTGATTTGTACAAAAACCTGTTACGAAAAGATGCAAAGTAAAATCACATATAAAACCCCTCCACATACTAGTTTAGACAGTCACAATAAAGAGGTTTTTTTGGAGTTAAGATGCATCTGAAACGGTCAGAGAACATCAGCCAGTGCAGAATTCAGATCAGCTCTGTTACAGAATGCACAGGGCTGGAAACCTGCTGAGTTCAGAAGGATTCCTTTAGGCAGCACTCTGGTTTACTCCTTCCCAATCCAGAGCCGACCCTTAGATCTCACCTACATCCATTTTGATCAGTTTAAAATCACTGATGAGGATCGACTGGTGGACATCTGTTATGAGATGAGGTGGAAACACTCCTTTCTTCCTGCTTGGCGAGGTTGGGATGGAAGGAGAGGCAGTGAAAATTTAATATTAAAAAAAAAAAAAAATGAGAAAAGGTAGTCTCAAGACAGTTTGTTGAGTACCAGAAACAAGAATTTATTCCCTCAGGGACGTGGCATTAGATAGCCAAGATCCTGAAGTGAAAATCAGCAGATGTTAAGAGCTGAGCTTCCTACCCACACATTGAATGTGCCTCCCACAGAGGAGCAAAATAACTTCTGCCCAGGGCTTTGTCCTCCACGGGGCTGTTTGACCTCACCCAGCTGATGGGCCTCACCTCACTGACCGCAGCATTTCACTTCACTCTTCTGTGTTTAGGTTGGAAACGAGCGGGACTGAAGCTCCTCTTACAGCCAAGAGCAGGTTAAATGCTTTTCCTGAGCTCAGGCTCCTCTCATTTGCTGGTTTCCTTTGGTTGCTGTTGTGGATCTCATGTGGGAGAAGGAGGAATTTTAGACCAAAAATAAGAGATGGTTTTGTCCTTAAAAAAAAAAAAAAAAAAAAGGCTACATTTTTTGAGGATAAGGATAAAAGATTGAAGTAAATCCTGCAGGAAGTCTTCAGGAATAAAGATGCACTAGATGTGGAGGGATCAGCCCAGCTTTTCTTCTCTGCTTCCAGGCCAACACTGAGAATGGATGTGGAAAGAAGAGCCTGTTCAGAGAACAGACCCTAAAACTGGCCATGACATTTGCCAGAAAAGCCCAGTGAGCAGAGCAGCAGATGAGCAATTGATGTGGGCAGGTAGATCCTAGTAAACACATCCCATCAAAAGAATTCCACAGGAATATTGTTAAATATGTCAGGATTAAAAAAAAAAAAAATCCCCCAGAAAAACCTGCAAGCAACTCCTGGCATTTTTCAGCCTCATCACACTTTCCTCCTGGTGAGGAAAATGGAGCTGCAATACCAGTGGTTCTTCTTTCTGGTTCTACTTCTAACTTAGGGTTTTCTTGCTTAAGTTGGAATGTGTGGGTTCTTTTTAGAGGGCAGAATTATTTTAGCAGATATCTATTAGGCATTTGATGAAAACTGACTTGGTACAACTAATTCCCTGCAAAAGCACTGGCAGCTGTGCTGTTTAGCAGGGAAAAAATAAGAATATGGTCAAAGATGGGCCCGGTCTGAGATCATGGCTTGACACACAGTGTTGTAAGAAGGAAAAGAAAAACAGAGGCTCCACTGCAGACAGGATTTATATCTAATTGTTCCAGCCTTGTTTCCTCCTCGAGCTGAGTCAGTGCTGCTGCACTTTTGAGGCTGGTGGCGAAATCCGAACCTTTGGGAGCCACTTTTTTTTCGCTGTAAAACGGGGCATCTGATCTTCCTTACGCTGTCAACTGCTGCTTTTTCCAGTGGCTCCCTGAAAAAAAAAAAACAAAAAAAAACAAAAAAACAACAGCCCATCAGCCAGAGAGAGCTTCAAAGCAGGGAGGATCTGCTCAGCATCATGATCATCTCCCATCCACCCCGAGGCGATGCCAAATATGACATCTGGCGACCGGGTTGGATGCGAGGGGCTATTCCACATCACATCCACGGGGAGCGCCTGCCAAAAAACGCCGCGGGCCAAAGACATTTTTTGTTCTCTCCACGGAAAAATAGCTCCTTTTGGAGGGATCAGAGATTTGGAGGCGACCACGCCAAGCCATCAAAGCTCCCAAAAGGCACGTAGCAGATACAAGTGCCTGCGAATCAGATGTTTCTGCCTCAGAATCTGGTTTTGAAGCTTCTTCCACTTCTTTTTTTTTTTTTTTATTTTATTTTAATTCCAGCTGGCCTAGTCATCAGAAAAGAAGCTCATTTCAGTGAAGGCAACCATATTCTCAGTGAGGGGAAGTTTCCTTTGTACACTCAAATGGATAAATTGCTACTGTGGATACCACAGGACCCACTTCTCCTGCAGTTTGTGCTGTTGGCCAGCCTGGGCTGTCTGTGGGAGGCTCAGTGCTACGAATCATATCCAAACTCAGGGAATTATGAAGAACCCAGAGAAAAACCATGAAAAAAAAAAAAAAAAAAAAAAAGCTCTGGTTGATCTTCCTCCTGAAAGAAATAAATGGCATTTTTGCAAAGTGTAGAGACAAAGAGGTCTGGAAGATCACGTTGTCTTATCTTTGGTTTTGGAGGGGGAATAATAGAGGACATCAACACGTGCCTTGGATGACTTGCAAGTAGGATTTAGACCAGGACACAGCACAGACATTGAGTTAATCTAAAAAGTGGATTTTTCATGGGCAAGGACAGGATGAGGACCTGTTGTATCTTTGCTTTGTTGGACACAGAGGGATAAAAAAAGAGGGAGAGGGACTTTTTAGATGGGCAAATGAAGACAGAACAAGGGGCAATGGTTTTAAACTGAGGGAGGGTAAGGTTGGATTAGATATTGAGAAGAAATTCTTGACTATGAGGGTGGGCAGGCCCTGGCCCAGGTTGCCCAGAGAAACTGTGGCTGCCCCTGGATCCCTGGAAGTGTCCCAGGCCAGGTTGGACGGGGCTTGGAGCAACCTGGGCTGGTGGAAGGTGTCCCTGCCCATGGCAGGGGGTGTCAATGGTTGATCTTTAAGGTCCCTTCCAACCCAAACCATTCCATGATTCCATGATACAGAACCTCAGGTGTGCAGTGTATGCACCTCACCTGACTCAGCTGAGTTTCTCTTGCACGAGAGTGATCTGAAAAGCATCCTGAAGTCATGCACTGACTTCAACGACCATAAAGTGTTTTTACCTATAAAATCACGGAATCATCAAGGTTGGAAGAGACCTTCACAATCATCCAGTGCCACCCTCAGCCAGCACCCCCACAATCACCCCTAAACCACGTCCCCAAGGGCCACATCCAGACACCTCTGGGACACTTCCAGAGAAGTGCAGGACATGAGGGATCCCTGTGCACCTGCCAGGGCAGGTTTTTTGGCAACTGCCCACATGGAAGTGACCCTGGGTTGCTGCCCTGCCACAGCAATACAAAGCAGCTGGTCAGCTTTCTGGGATCTTCTGGGTGAAAACCTCTCCAGGAAGAGTCCCAGGATGGCCCCGGGGAACTCTCAGGTTTTTGCCTGCAAAGGAAGACAAAAGCAGATTTAAGTCCAGTAACTCTTCTGACTGCGAGCAGACAGAAAGGCCTGTGGTCTTGCACTGCAGATATCACTTAGAATCATGGAACAGAATCACAGAATATCCTGAGCTGGCAGGGACCCACCAGGATCATCCAGTGCCAGCCCTGGCCCTGCCCAGGACACCCCAGCACTCCCCCCTGTCCCTCAGAGAGTTGCCCAAACGCTCCTGGAGCTCTGGCAGCCTTGGGGCCGTGCCCACTGCCCTGGGGAGCCTGGGCAGTGCCAACCACCCTCTGGGGGAAGAACCTTGTGCTGAGCTCCCACCTGAGCCTGCCCTGGCACAGCTCCAGCCCTTCCCTGGCTGCTGTCCCTGCTCACACCGAGCAGGGATCGGGGCCTGACTTGCTCCTCTCTCTGCTCTGACTCCTCAAACGTGCTGACAACCTCGATGGAAGCCTGCAAACAATTAACCAGACTTTCACCTTCTTCCTCGAGAAAAGAGATGAAAACCACGTTTGAGAAATGGGATGGAACAAAATGGATTGTATCCTGCACATCTCCCAAGGATGCAAATTACTCACTGGAGCCAAAAAAGGCAGCCGTGAGCTCAGCAGAACCTGAGATTACAGAAAGGAAGATAACAAGGCAGGGCCCAACTGGTTGCTGTGTTGCTCCAGCTCCTTCCAAGTTCCCTTGGGCTCTAAAAATGGAAAAGGACAACATTTTGTTCACAGATCAGAGAAGAGCCATAGTGAGAATGCTCCCAGTGGCAGTAAAGAAGACAAACCCATCGCTCCCATGGAGGTCAAAACCAGAATATCAGATTAGTTACACCACATTAATTACATGTCAGCAGTTCTCAGCATCTACACTTATTTCACAGTAAAAATATCAAACGTGGAGTTAAAATTAGTGTCACTGCACAGGTAAAATTTCCAAGTCATACTCAAACACGTGGCTGAGTCCTGGTTTGATTTGTGATCTAAAAGGGTCGTTTTTCAACAGCTGCTGAGAATTTCGGTTTAGTTCAGCCTGTACTTCTTGGTAAAAAATATATCCATGGAAATGAAAAAGAATAACTTGAAAGGTTATTGTTTCTAGGAGGGTGGTGTGTTGATGAACAAGAAATTGGAACCAGATTGCTGTTTAAATTCTGGTGTTAATTATGTGGTGCAACTCCCTCTGAAATTAATGGAGCTCTGCATATAAAAAAAAAAAAAAAAGGGACAATTGAGCTATTTCTGCTTCCTCTGTTATACATGAAGGCTTTGCCAGTCTACTGCAGCACAGGGAATATTTAATTATTAGTGGCTACAGTTACATCACCAACCACTTCAGGGGAACCCCAAAAGCTTTTTAGGATGTTGAATAAAATTGTTATCAAAACAGCAAATCCCTTTCACAAAAGGCACTGAAGTGTCCAGGGCTTCCAGTGAAGGTAACACAAAATAAGAGTTCAGGTTTAACTTGGGAAATTTGCTCAGGGCCTTGTTTTTCCTTTAACACAAAACTTCCCAACGTGCCTTGGAGGAGCAGTTTACCTGATAACGTTGTAACCTTAATTTATAATGTTATATAGATTTATTACCCTAACCATGGAATCACTGATATGTAATAATGTCACCCAGCCTTTGGTAAATGCTTTGATAAATCCCTGCAAAGAGCTTCCTGAAGGTCAACATTTTTGATAGGTCACAATTCCAAGTATTTCTCAGGTTTAATTTCCCTGATTTAACTATATTCACAATGTCAGTGACTTGCAATTATTCGGTCAAATAAACAAATGGGCATTTCACGTGGAAAAGCTTTTCAGGATGGTTCAACTCTTCTGAAGAGATGGGCGGGGTGTTGTTTTTTTTTTAACTTTTCAGCGCCGTTTTAAAGAGATTTCTCCAAAGCCATCGAGGCAAGTGGGAACGCCTTTAATGTCTTCACTGGTACCTGGATTTGGCCCAAACCAAATGGCTACTATTAAAGTTCAGGCATAGAAAAGTGTTAAGTCCGACTCTTGCAGGAGTTGTGGTCAGTAATTAATGTGTTTTCTCTCCCCTGCAAGTCCCCATATCCAACAGGAGATACGGCCAAGACGCTCTAGCCGACAACTTCCCGAGCTGCACCGCGCCCGTGGCCGGCGGCAGGTACAAAGAGGAGATTTACGACTCCACCATCATGAAACCCAACAAAATGGAGCCCAGGATCCAGCCCCCTCCCCACCTCATCAAGGAGGAAAGCAAGCTGGCTTTCAGCAGAGACCTCCAGGAAAAAATGAGCATCAACGACGGCTCCTTCTCCAACTCCATCGCCGGCTCGCTGCTGCCGAAAGCGGAGTGTTTCCAGCCCAAAGCTCTGGGACAGCTGGGCCACCTCCTGCCCGTGCCCTCGGTGTACGAGCAGACGAGGCGGATTTGTGGGAAAGAGCCCAAGTACGGGGGGCACCTCGGCGGCCACCACCACCCCGCGCACCTGGAGGAGCCGGGCGGCGAGGGGAGGATGGCGGTGAAGCTCGACCACGAGGCCGAGGGCGAGCGCGGGACGGATGTGAGGCCCTCGGGACAAGTGCCCTTCGTGCTCCTGAACTACCACCACGTCCTGGCCAAGCACGGGGCGTTCCCGGCCTCGCCGTGCGCGGCGCCGGGGCACGCGGGGGAGAGTTACGGATACAACGCCGAGGAGGTGAACGCCTTCCTTTACAAAAACCACCAAAGCCCCTCCTCGGCCTCGTCCCCGGAAACCCACAAGGAATCTGCACTGCCCCATTACATTGGGACCTCGGTAATAATCGCCAACGGGAGGTGACGGTGACGGAGGGGTTATTTACGTTTTAATTAAGAAACCACAGACTGTAATGATCTGCAAAAAAAGGAGAAAAAAAAAGAAAAAAAAAAAGCATGAGAAAACGTGGTTACATTTACTGAGAGCAGTTGAAGGTCGGTGAGGGACAGACTGGTGTGACAGTGGTCAGGAAAAGCCCCCTCCATCCAGCTTCCCGTGCTTCCTCGTCCCAGACTGAGCTCTGGTGCCAGGGGGAAGGCACGTTACAGATCTTATTTTTGTTATTTTATAGTGTGCAACAAAAAGAAATGATAGGTGTTATATGCAGAGATTTATATGAAGAACTTTTTTTTTTTCCCTTACCCCTCCTCCTTCTCAAAATACATTCAAGATTTTTTTTTTTAATCATTAACTGTACACTCTAGTTTATTTTTTTTTTTTTTTTCACAAATTGTGTGAAAACTTTACATCAGCTCTCCACCCCCAACACACGGAGAGAGTGGTGATTTTTAGTGGCCACAATCCAGCTGTAATAACCAAACAGAACTCAAGTTTGGGGGAAAAAAAAGAAAAAAAGAAAAAAAGAAAAAAAAAGCTTATTTATTAATTATCCCAAAATGTTTTAAACTAAATAAATCAAACCTAAATTTGATTTACTTGACGTAGATTTCAGTGTTCTGAGATCGTTACCACTGCCATTCATCTTGACAAGGGACAATACAACAAATTAATGTGTATTACAGGGTTACAGGTCTTGTCACGGCAAATTGGGACAAATTATGTAGCAGGAACTAACAGTTATTCCCCATAAAGCGCTGTAATAAGAAAAAGGAACTTCTCAATCGTGTGTTTCACTGGGAATTCTGGGAGAAACGAGCAGATTTTAACCCCAGCTACTAAAAAATACATCTTAATAACAGCAACCAGAAATGTTTTCTTTATAGTCAAGAGAATGAGGAACGTTTATGCTTTATTTTAAACTTGCCAGTAGAGCTGTGAACTTTGAAAGGTTCAGCTTTCAACACACTGAGCTTCCTTAAGGGTCAATCTTGTTGTCAGCACAAAGGTAGAGATTGGGGTCTGACCATCCCAAACTGCACAAACACTCCCAATTAGGGATAGATTTTCACCCCCTTTATTTTTCCTTCTTGGTAGAGTTTACAAACGAGGAGACACGTGGGGCTGTGTGTGTTTAATTGACAACAATCAATCCACTGTGGTTTTCAACCACTTCCCCAAATTTCCACAATTGTTTTCTTGATGAAACAACAAATGACTCCCTAAACTAGAGCTGTAAAAAACAACAACAAATGTTGCTGTAGGTCCGAGTCAGCTCTGCTTTTTAGCCCAATTCAAGGCTAATTCAGGCTTTTCAAAGTCTCTCTCTTATCTCTCTAAAGAGACCTTCAGTGAAGAAACAGCCTGGGACACTGGGAGGTGTCCCTACCCATGGCAGGGGGTGGAACTGGATGATCTTTAAGGTCCAACCCAAACCACTCTGAGATCCTTTGGGAAAACACTTACATGGCTTGTGCAATATGGAAAAACTCTTGCTCCTGGACTGCACCTTGTCAGATAAAACCATAAGGGAATAAACACCTTGAAAAATTACATGTTCTCCATCCTTTCTGTGCAGGAATAGAATCACAGGATGGTTTGGGTTGGACCTCAAAGATCATCCAGTTCCAACCCCCTGCCATGGACAGTGAACCCTCCACCAGAATACAACTACACAGTCACTTCCTTCTGTGTATGAATATTTACTGCTACGAGTACACCAAAAAAAACCACTTTTAAATCATAGGTTTGAAAACAATTTTCAGTATTTGCATTGCTTAAAAAATTACAAGGTTAACAAAGGAGGCTTTATTACGAAGTGATGTTCACTTGGAGGCTCTCAGTTGTCTGACTTTTTCAATTCCATCGAAACTACACTTCATGCTAAATATAACAACAAATACCTAATCAGTGATTACCAGAATAGTGACTTAAAAAAAAACCAAAAAACCAAACCCAAAAGCAGAACCAAACCAGCATAACCAGTCACACACTTGCTGTGACTGTGCTCCTTGGCTTGTTTAATGCTGGAGAAGTTGAAGTCTCCAGAAAAAGCTGTAAAAATGTAGATTATTATCACTTTGACTTTATAAATCGAAGGGATGACACTCAAGTTGGCTTTCCAGTGGCTGTGGCCAAGAGTGCTGCTGATAATTGACCCCAGCTCCTTCAAAGACGCAATTAGGCAAATGTTGATTTCGTTAATTAAACCCATGCCCTAGAAAGGAGGAACTGGCCTCGTTTGCATCGTTAAAAGGAAACCTGATGCACAGCTCCCACGCTGCACTTTGTGCCTCATTAATGGCATCACTGCACCCAAAACCTGCTGTGGTTTTGCTGTCCTTCTGAGTCCTCCTCACCAGAAAAAAACCCCCGTTTTCAGGAACATCCAAATCAGGCTTTGGTTATAAAAAAAAAAAACACCATCGATATTTCTCAGTAAAACCACAGAGTATTTCTGCAGCCTCTCCCTGGTTATTCACACTTCCAGGCTTTTTTCAGGGAGCCTGAGCAGAGGAGGTGTTCCATCATCCTCCCCCAGATGTTTTATGGGATGCTCGGGTGCCGGAACTTTCCCCTATTAGGGGGGGAATAAGGGGGGAATTAGGGGGGAATAACGAACTAATTACACTCCAGATGATAATACGGTGGAGGTTTTGAGGAAAGACCTGTGATTACAAAAGCAAAAGGGTGAAACTTTTTATTTTTTTTTTATCTCCTGCCATTCCAAACCCAGAAAACAGCAGCTCTGTGTTCACGGCTGGAACGGGGGTCAATTATGCCGAGAGAAAAATACGACTTTTAACCAGGTAAACTACAGATGTTCTCGGCACACTGGAGGTGCAGAACACGGCACAGCCACCACAGTGGCAATGGTTTTAATAATGGGGAAAAAAATTACGACACCGAAGCGGTGTGTGAATTGGAATATGTTACGAAGAACCACCTCATTTCTCCCTTTGAGCCGCTGCAGATGCCTTTGCCGTGGCTTAACCCTTAGTGGGGGTTCAGATCTGGCAAGAAAATGATCTGGAGAGTGGGAGGGGGAATATTCCATCAAAATCAAAGGATCATAGAAGGGTCTGGGCTGGAAGGGACTTTAAGGATCATCCCCCAGACCAAAGTCAGAAAAGTTCATCCCATATTAAGCTTTTTACCCTCTTAACTGAAGGAGTGCAGTGTAAATAAGGTGGTAAGGGAACAGACCCATCTCCAGATCTCTTCAGCCCTGCGATTTGAAAAAGGCTATAAAATTAATTCTAAGGGAATTAAGCCCAGGGGATGTAAAACTGGAGAATCTACCACCGAAAGTGCAAATGAACGGGAAACTCGCCAGAATTTCTCTAGAAATCTCCAGACAGGACACAAATGATTTTCTCAACCCTTCAGTCATGCTTCCAAAACAACACAGGGGAAAAACGTTATTATTCCATTTCTTTTCCTGAACTTCAGTTTTTGCCTTTTTTTTTTTTTTTTTTTTTTTTAAATATGATGCAGATTAAAAAAAAAAAAGCTATTTGGCAAGTGTAGGTGAAGAAGCACGCAAACCAAACAACCTAATAACGCTCAGAACTATATATGTATTCCCTAAAAAAAAAAAAAAAACAATGTAAAGCATTTTTTGCTTATTTATTCTGTAAAACAAAACCCTTTAAAATGTTAATAAAATCCTGTAGCCAAAGGAAAAATCAAGCTGGATTCCTCCTTTTTTTTTTTTAAACAAAAAACACGGCATGTCACAAACAACGGGGGCAACATCTGAAAATTTATTTCAACCGGGGTTTATATCTGACAAATAACACACTACGAAACACGAGGATTTTTTTTTAAATTGGTTGTATTTTTTGCCACGTTGCAAAGGAAGAGACACTCGGAGGGGGGGGACACTGCAAATAGCAGGGAATCACTAATGAGCTACTCGAGCACCACGTCAGCTCGCAATTCTCTCCTGCAGTTCTCTTTTCTCCATCGTTTTTTGACCTCTGGTCCTTCCTCAGCCCAGATTTAATTTCTTTGGTGCGGGCTCGGGGCGCTGCATCGCCGCCGCCACTTACACATGCAAATGCTTTTTCATCAGACCAGCTGCCCCCAGCGATCAGCACAATGACAGACATTTTTTTTTTTTTTTTTTTTTTTTTGCACATATGAAGCTCCCGAGTCTTCCACAGGAGTTGCACAGAGCAATTCTTGAAACTGCTGATGCAGCTGAATCGGGAAAAGCAGAGAAACGAATTTTTGTACAGCAGCACAGAGGATTAAACGTTTTAACATTATTTCCAGGTAATAGCCCTTGATTTGCTGGATAAATTTAAAAAAAAAAAAAAAAAAAAAAAAAAAAAAGCTCTGAAGTCTTATAAACCTTTTACTAGAAGCGAGATGTGCTGCTCGAGCTCTTAAATGGTAAGCACATTATTACTTTTTCAAATCTTTGGAAGCAGCTTCGTTGCTGACTGGGCACAACCTGCTGGCCTCCCTCTGAACGCACACACACGTGCCAACACGCCCAGCAGAAGTTTTCCTATCAATAAACAACCTCCACAAATGTTTTCACGATGAGAAATGTTATAACAAGAGTCCAGGAGAGGGAGGGGGGAAAAAAAAAAAGTAAAAAAAAAAAAAAAAAAGAAGTTACAGAAATACGGACGCCATAATAAATGGGGTTTTTTTGAAAGCACTTCATCAAGAAAATAGTTTAAGATATGACATCAGCCCCACAATGGAAGAGGTGTTTTACTAATCCAGACAGTTGAACGAAATGAAACATTTTCAGTGCATTACTCCTGGGTCTGGAGTTGTCTGATTCTCTCCGTGCCGATGTCCAGAGACGCTCGGCACCACATTTGTCTGAGAATAAGAATAACAAGGATTTTCCTACAAGAATGTTGCGGCTTTCTGGGCGTGCCAGGTTTGGCACAGGAGGAGTCAGGCTCCCGGCTGGGCTTCCCATCTACCTGACAGGGGCTCCTGGGCTTCTCCACAGGAGCAGCTGCTCCTCACAAGGACCTTTCCCAGCTTCTCAGCGTCCCACGGGAATTCCCCCCCTGTCTTTGGTTCTTCGGAAGGGGAAGCAGCAAACCCTCCATCTGAAGCCCAGGCAGTTTCCTCCAAACCGCAGGTGAGTTTTAGACATTTTTTTTGGACACCAGAACAGGCCACTAAAAAAGGCGAAGTGATATTCCCAGACACATCCAGACTTAGTTTAGGACCTTGCTTGTGGAAAGGAAGCTCAATCCTAAGTCTCTCCCCATCGCAAAAATTTTTGGAATAACCTTAAAACTCAAAAGTGAGAATAGAACCAGCCTATCATTAAGGCAGCCAGGAAGGAATCCAAAAAAAGAACAACAGCAACCAGGATATGCTGCAGCATTTTGCTCTCCAAAAAAAATCCCTCAGCCACTGAAGGTTTGCAAGTCCATCCTTCCCTTCACACAGGAACATGTTTTATCCTTTCCCCCCACCCTTCTTTGTCCCTTGTGAAGGGAGAACACGTTTTAAGGAAGCCATTCAAGCACGACCTGGTTGATGAATCTCTACAGGCACTTCTCAGTCTCCCTGGAATACGAGGAAAATCCAAGGTGCTTCCCACGGGCACATCCTGCAGCGCCAAAGCCAAAGCAGAGACGGTGTTTTAGCTACAAATGTCGTATTAAGGTAAAGTTTTGTAAACCTGTGTGGTTGGAAAACCAGTACCAGAGCTCTGCTTTCCCCAGCTGACATTGCTCATAAGCTGCTTGAGGGAAAAGGCAGAAAATGAGTGAAGATGCACAAGATGTGAGCGTGCACTTGCACACACACCCTTTTTATGCACGTGCATATGTGTGGTTTCTTCTTTTTTATTGAAACTTGATTAAGTCAGACTGGAGTTTCAGCTGGTTACAACATGCATCAGTGCTTCATTCTGAAATAAAGGTGGCTGCCAGAAAATTCTCAGCCCAAAGCAGTTTCTAAAAGCCTCAGGTGGGAAAAAGCGAAACCTGGTGTTGGTGTGTATAATTTTAATTATGCCAATCAACAGCTGTTTACACTCCACTGGACGGTTCCCTGCAATACTGGTGTGCAGCCTCACAAGATCTGGATCGGGGGGGAAAACAAACCAGCAGGGACACGGACAAATCCACTGTGATGTGGAGCAGAAAATCCTAAACGTAACAGGGACAACTTAATTCCCTGCACTTGCTGCCAAACCACCTAAACCCTAATATGTGAGGATTGGTCAAAATTACCATTACAGACCAGTTTCCTGGTTTTAAGACTTCTTGGCTTCGTAACTGAAACAATCTCCTAACATGTTCAGATTGTTCATGAGGCGAACTTTAACCCCAAGCCCCCATTTCGGGTGGGTAGGAAGTAATTTCCTTTGTGGAAACCAATTTGGCTGATACCCCCCCCTCCAGCAGGGGACGAGGGAATGGAACGAGCAGCGCTGCCTACTTGAGGAAATGAAGCTTGAGGAAACATCACACCTAGGACAAAAGTTATTTTGCACAGGACTGTTTGAAGAGCTGTGGTGGCCAAGTCTTGGTGTGAAGGCCCCGGAGAAAAACCCGCCGAGCCGCCGTCGCACGGAAAATTCCCTCAGGGATGCTCCAGGATGCTTCCCAGTCACGAGTAAAGTGTTGCACCCCATCTGGAACTGTGCAGGCAGCCCCCAAAACCGGCTGCTTTCAGGTTCAGCAGGTGTTAAAGCTCCTGCTTTTAATGGTTGGCAGCAAACCCAGACGCTCTGCTTTGGGAAAGGGGGTGACAACGGAAGCTGTGGAGGAGAATTTGGACACAGGTGGATGGTGTGTTTTCTCTTTCTCACTGCAGTAGTTGTTTACAGCAAGGAATCCCTTATTTATTCACTTCATTCAGATCATAATATAGCTACTACCAAATTTTAAACTAGTTAGAACTTCCCTCTCCTGACGTGGGATTCCACAATGACCTTGGTCGGACACTACTCCAGTGGGCTTTTCTTACAGGGGCTGAATCCTCTTGGAAGATTAATTCAAAGGACATATAAGATGATTTACTCAGATCCAGTTGCCTAAGAAGAGCAGAGTGCCAGTGATTTGGATAACCAACCACAGTTCTTAAGTGCTCTCCAAAAAACTCAAGGCAGCTACTAGAGTTGGAGACCTGAGAGCAAAGCACAGGTTGGTAAATTGTTGCACAGGCCCACAGGGAGAAGAACCAAATCAGCAAGGATCTCCACTTAGACCTGAAGTTAGGCACAGTGGTAATCCCAGTAAGTCAGAAATATTCGATGTTCCAGCTGTTTTTAGTGCAGACAACACATAAACCAGAACGTAGTTTGAAAAAAAAAAAAAAACCAGAGTAAAAAAAGTAAACATTGTCCTGCGTTTTGCTAAAGTACAACAAAAACACAGAGACAGAGAGAGGAACTTTTCAGCCTCCTCAGTTTCTCCAGTACAGTGTGTAAATGAAGAGAAAGTTCTGTTCACTGCAAAGGGTTCCTTTGCAACCAGCCTCCTCAGAAAGAACAGATGCTTCCGAAGAATGGCAACATCGGGGTGTTCTGAAGTTAATACAAAACAATAAAGGCCTTCAGCTACGAGATCACCACCTCCTTTTGAACTGCTGACGTTATCCACATCAAAACCCAAAGAGAGCAGAAAATCAGAAGGAAAAAAAGAAAAGAAATCAAGCTGCCAACTCCCCTTCCCACCTCTGAGCAAGCTCAGCCGACGGCGCCAAACACTAAAGAGTTTCCCCCGGTGCTGGGAGCTGTGGGGGCAGTTAATGCTTTGGGACTATGAGGTTTCTCAGCATGTCAAAGGAGTTGCCATCTGGGTGCACAGACTCGATCCCTTTGCCTTCCTCGTGGACCTGGAGGTATCCGTAGTCGTCTATCCCGACGATCCACGCGGTGGGCCCGTCCTCGCCGCGCAGGCGGACTCGCTTTCCGCTGGGGAGAGGGAGGAGGAGGATGCTGGTGGTTAAGGGTGGGCACTGCACAATTCAAAACACCTCAGAGGGCTAAGCACAGAATGAATCCGCAGAATGGATGGGATTGGGATCTTAAAGATCATCCCATTCCCACCCCCACACCTTCCACCAGCCCAGGTTGCTCCAAGTTCCTCCAACCTGGCCTTGGACACTTCCAGGGATCCAGGGGCAGCCACAGCTTCTCTGGGCAACCTGTGCCAGGGCCTGCCCACCCTCACAGGGAAAGCTTCACCCTCCAACAGATTACTTTTATTTCCCCCTTCACTGGTTCTTTACACAGAACGATTTCCAGCAGCATTTTCTATCTGTTTTAATTTCCTTTGGTGGAATGAACGGAGTTGGAGTTCATCCAAACAGTCTATTCTATTATTTTTTTTTTTAATAGAAGCACAGCAGCTTCATCAATCACAAAACAAATAATTTCCAGCTCCTTTTGTTTGGAGATGATACAAGGAAAATACCTGGGATCATTCTTTAACTCATGCTGGTCCGTTGATTTTAGCATGTGCTACTTTTATCCTCCCTTAAAAATGCACTTCCTGCTTGGGAGTATATTTGAATTAATTTCCTCGTTTTAAAGGAAATTTAGCAGAAAAAATAGAAAAAGACAATATATCCAGGAGTTCTTCTACCAACTTGCTTAAAAGAAAGTCTGAGAAGGAGATTATTCCTACCTGTGTACCCAGTACTTGTAGTAGCGGGGGAGAATTCCATTGGGCCCCTTCTCCTGAAAAATGTCTATGAGCCTCTCCAGCACGGTGACAGTCCTGGCAATGAGACAGTCTGCAGTTAAAGGCTTCAGCTTTGTCCCCTCTTCCTTATTAAATTTTGTGATGAGGTCATTGATGCATATGGTGGGGTTGCTGTTGTTCACATTAAACCCGAAACCTGAAGAAGACAAGCGAGAAGGATCAAAGGGATGAACGCTCTTGTTACCACCAGAGTCACTACTTTGTTCAGCTACTCAATACAGTTATTCCCTAGGGATGTTCCCAGGAGTTGTTTTTTTTTCAATCTCTTACACCTTTAAGTCTTCTCACTCTTTACAGTTCTCAGTTCAGATTTTACTTGTTCCTTGCCCTCAAAACGCTCTTTAGAACTACAGCAGCCAGTCCAGCAGGGTCTTTCAGCACCACACCATCCTGCCAGTGAGGGGTAGGAAGATGGTAACTGGCACCTTGGTTGCAGTAGCATCAAAGTGAGAAATTCTTTCGTGTCATCAGCTAACCCACAGCGAACCCCTGATCATTCTCTGAGATGGAGTTTCATCTTTCAGCCTAAAACGTAATTCAGAGACCTCAGTGTTTACTACAGTTGGCTGGTTGCATTTTCTGAAAACCGAGCCTTTTTCACTCAGCTGATAAGCCTTGTTTGGCTTGCTCTGGAAAGCCCAGAGGATTTAACTTTAACTTTGTAAGACTCCAGTTTGCTTAATCTATCTCACCACAGCATATCCTTTAGAAGCCTCAAGTGTCTCGCTGAGATTTCTCCAGCTGGAATAACGTTGGCAGAACGCCTTTCTTGCTTAAATGTGGCTCTTGGGGCCTTTTCTGCTGCCTGCTGGAACAGGCTTCGAGGGATGTAGAGAAATATATTGTATTACCTGTTTATTTTTTCCTCCTAATAATTTGGTTTTTTGGGGTTTTTTTTTGTTCTCTCCTCAGACATTTGGGACAAACCCCACTGTCTGTCAAGCACTTTAAGACACGATGCACCTCCATCTGCAAGAAGGTGCAGATGCCTTGTTTTGTAAATTTTAATTTAATATTAATGAGACTTCCACGCATATATGGAAGCAATTTGTGTTAACTGTGAGGAGAGGGATCCCTTCAGTGAAAAGAAGCTTTTGATTTTTAACTAGTTCAGGGTATGCAACACAAACAGGGCCCAGCGATACCGGTACCAACACACTGACCCTGGGGAAATGAGCTGAAATGCATTACTGGAAAGGGTGAAGGAAAACGAACTGGAAAACACTTCGTGCCATGGCAGCAAATCCCAACTCAGTTGTTACCACTCAACCACAGCACAAGGGAAGAGAGTGCCCTGTGTGTAGAACTGTGAGGGGGCATCACACGTCTTTGGGGTCCCTTGGCAGCTCTCCTTCTGAAAGCCCTGCCACCCTCAAGTTCTTAGTTTTTAAATTTCCAATTTCAAAATAGAAAAAAAAAAAAGGTTTGGTTCGATTGGTTTGCTTGTCTTTTTAATCAGGTTTAAGAGTACGGGACACGAAGCGCTGTCCTCTGCGAGGCCCTGAGCGCTGGTTTGTCCTTCACCTTGTTCTTCTGAGGTAATTCTCACAGCGGGGAAGGTTTGAAGAGCTTTGATTTGGATCATTCTCCTCCATATGTGGGATATTCCTTATGAATCCCATGGGATGGGTGAGTTGAAGGCCCGGGCGTGGCACTCAGTGCTCCGGGCTGGGTGACAAGGTGGGGATCGGGTACAGGTTGGGCTTGATAGACTTGGAGATCTTTTCCAACCTCACTGATTCAGTGATTCTGTCTAGGTGAGGGATCTGCATGACTTTAGAAAAAGGATGGTGCACCTGGTTCACCCTTCCTGCTGCGGAAGTTGGATCTACCACCACTACTGATTTAAGAACTTTGATGTCGTGAATCTCCCCAACTGCTCTCCACGACACACGATGGAAAAGCTCCTTGGATTCACCTGTAGCAAGTAGGTTTTAATTTTAGAAGCTTCCAGGTGAAAGTAAACTGATGAACAGGTACATCTTTTGTCTACACCACCCCAAAGATAACTCCTATGGATATCAGAGAGAACAGATACAGAAGGGTTTAATTTTAATTTAATGGTTTGGGGTTCAGGGTAAGAAATAAAAGGTCCAAACCAAATATTTGCATAAGAGATATTTGATATAATCAAATATTTTGTGATCCATTTCTGCTTTTCCTCTGTTAACCAGAAAAGGCCCTAGAAAAAC